CTGCAGAATCATTTTAGGAGACACAATAATGAAATTTTTGTGGATCGAGTGAAGCTCCTATATTGGTATAATCTAATCCAATACACTTTCTTGTCTAATTTGGTCCAACTATACAATATCTGTAAAAAATTTTAATAAAATATTTAAGAATATCAAATATTTTTATTACAGTTCAGTAAAACATTAAACTACACCAAATTAAGAATTAGTATTTGCTTTTACACAGTTTTAAGTTTAATCTTCTCTACCTGCGTATTATCTGGATAATTTTTAACATACATCGCCAAGCATACAATATCCATCTCTACAAAATGTGGCTGTTTGTGTATTGGTTGGAATACAAAAATGAGTAATTTAGTCTTTACCAGCAAATGGAGAGTCTTTTGGAAAACTATTCAAATTTTCACATTAATTACCCTCAATTTAATTAATACATTAAAATTTATCTGCACAGGATTAGCTGTTAGCTTAAAAAATTTATAACTATTTATAATTTTTAATAAAATATTTATTTACACTAATTATATTATTAACAAGTTTGATTTGCATTTTTAGATACAAGGTTTTGGTTTGAATTAGTAATCTTCGTGCATTGATAGTTCAGATTAGAAGAATCATATTATATACAAATTAAAATGCTATAGCACTCAATTATTCCTTTTAATATTTAAATTAATTATTTGTAAAAAAAAATTAATGTAGTTTTTCATATTTTAAGACAAAATAACTTTAAAATAAGTTGTACTATTCAAAAAAATTATATTAATATCAAATTTGAAAGAAAATTTTTTTCCTAATTGTTAAAAAATGAGAAATAATAGTGTATTAACTAACTTAATAATTCTCAAAAAATTATGTGTAATTTAACAAATTTTAAATTTTTTCTTAATTATTTAGAAAATAATGTTTTAATATTCGTAATTTATATTATTTTAGCATGTTAATTTTTTTCTCATTTGAATATTAAATAAATGAAGAAATAAAATTTTATTTATTTTTATATTTAAATTTAAAATTAATTTAGCTCTAATTTTTCTAAAAATTTAAAAATTAGTAATTTACGATATAAATAAAATCATTTTTACCTATTTTTGTAGTTTAGTTTAAAGCAAGACAGCTTTAAGTATTTTATTCTATCCCTACATATTGCATTTTTCCTACACTAAATCCTAATATGATACAAAACTATTAACTGGTTGAACTTAGAGTGTATAAACAAAAACCATCAGCACATCTTTCTATTTAATTTCCAGTTGTTTTTGTTGGGTCCTTAAAAGGTAAACAATATCCGGTTAGTTACTCCTTACCCACTCTTTTGTCTAAAATATTTGATGATAAAAAGAAGCAACACTAATTTGATTAATCATAGCATATTTATGGCACATCTGCACATCTTGAGGAATTTTTAAAAAATTATAATTATATTTAACTTATAATTGATACTTAACAGCTGGTGAATCAGAATTAACGCAAAAGCCAAGAGCATCAACTCCCATAGTGGATGAACTCCCTGATATAAAAGTGCATTTTTTCATATTTGAAGAAGTTATTATGCAAAACTAGGAACCACATTTAAATAAATCTTTTTTAGAAAAAAAAAAAAATAAAAATAAAAATCAAAATTATCTATTTATACTTGGCACAAAAGTGTCTAACTATACACAATTTCCGTTTGTGTCAACTCCCTTTTTATTTTAATGCTTTTTACTAAATAAAATTAAATATGTATATTTACACTGAATTATATTTAATTGCCTTATATTGACTTGCATTATTATGATACGGAGTCAAAACAGGAGTTTTTTTCTTTTGAACACTAAGTAGCATTAGGTGTATTGTTAAAATCACATTTATTATTGTTTGCATCATCTAATCTTGAAGTAAATTAATTGCTTAGATCACTTAGCTATAAGCAATAATTAGAATTAGAACAATAACTATTATAATTAAACCAAATTATTTTTTATATTAATTTAAAAAAGATTGATATATTTATTGATTACCCTTAAATACAGCTTTTAATATTATCACTTGATCTTTGATTAGGAAAAACGCAGTAAAATGATTAATCAATTCCTATATAAGTTGGTGTGAACGCAGACTCAACTGAGTTTTTTTATGGGTCTAAGCAATATCCATTTTATAAACTAATTTCTAATGAATAAAATAAAAGAAGGAAATAAAATTTGTTCAAAATTACTTTATCCTGCAGGTATTATTTCATGTATATTTTGAATGCATACTCCAAGTGTTTAATTGATTCCTATCAAATTTGGGTTATTTTGAAGAGATAGACAATTTGATTTATCGCTACTTATGCAATATTTATCTGGTTGTATACATTATTTAATATAGTTTTTACTTGGTAAGGTGTTAATACATAATCCAGTTATATCCACTGCTATAAACGTCATTTAAGATTAAGGATTAAATTGTATACATTCTCCATTTTAAATACATGTATTTTTCATACTATTTATATCAAATTTAACACAAAAATTATGATCATTTAAGCAATATGCATCAGAAGGATTGCTAGATGTAGTTATACAACATCCCGAAGAAAATTATGAAGCACTAGTACACTTTTTAGAGTAATCATAGCCTATTTAATTTATGCAGTCTAAATCTAAAAATTAACCACCATCAATGCATTAATTTTTTGAAGGGGTATTTGGACTTAAATGACGTTTGATAGAACTAATTTATGTCTTTACTTCAACTATTAATATAAACTAAAAAAGAAATAATGGGATTCTTATATATTTACAGAGCTAAATCATTTTTTTATTTTATTAAACTTTTGATTTTTTTGATTGAAGTTTTAATTATATATATCTTAGATTTCAAATAAAAAACTAAACAACAATATATTCGAAATTTTAATTAATTTGTTTACATTCAATATTTACTTTTCTTAAAATAAAATACATTAATCTGTATTTAATAACTAAATAAATTTTTTTACTCAAACTGAGTAAAATAATAAGTGCAAAGCCATTAATAAATTAAATTCAAATTAAATAATAAAATGGAAAATCTTGAAAAGCTAAAATAGTTTAGATTTCAATTCTAATAATAATGAAAGCGATTAGTAATAAATATCATTTTTATAAAATATATATTAAATATAAATTTATTGATTTTGAAAAGTTATTTTAACAATAGAAATAGGTAAGAACATTACCAAAATTTAAAAAGATAAATTTTTTTAGCAAAAATTTGAAATTTTATACAAAAATAAATTAATAAAAAAAAAATATATTCAAACATAATTTGATTTCAATTCTTATTTTGTATGAAAACTTATGTAAATAGCTTAATAAAATTTAATTTTATCCATATTTCGAAAAATTAAATTATGAAAACAAAGTTGAAAGATATTAATTAAAATAAATTAGTAAAAAATAAAAAATAAGTAAGATGTACCTCTATTCTCAAAATTTTTAACATTATTATTTTTGTATTTTAATATTGTTAAATTTGGCTAATGTTTTTATTAAGGGATGTAAGGATACTATCTTCCTTAATTTAAGTATTGAATAAAAAGATTAAATAAATAAATTGCTTTCTATGAACAGATTCTTAATTTATAAATACTAAATTAATACTCCACAATTTTTAATTTGGAAAATTTTTTATTTCATATTTATTTTCCAAGTTACACATACTAATTCTGATAATCTTAAAAAAAAAAATTTAATCTGATAAAATATAATAATTCCTCATAGAAGAAATAGTAAATGCTTTTGTAGTAAAAGTAACAAGCTATTTTTCTGGCAAATTAAAAATTAAAAAACTTGTTTTTTTAAAACTGATTTCAATAAAATTCATTATCTAAATATTCATCAAAAAAAAATGAATAAATTAATATAAAAAATTTTAAATTAAGTAAGTGTAAATTATGCAAAATAAAGTAGATTTTAAGTGAAAATTATGAAATAATAAATCATTTATTTGTTTAAAAATTAAAGAATATGATTGAAATTGCTCAACAAAGCCGTAGATTAATAATTAAATAATATAAAATTTATTTCAAAAATAATTTTTTATCTTATTTTTTTGTCACCATAAATTAAAGGTTTGTAAAGCTAACTTTCAAAATATTATAATAAGGGTTTAAAAAAATACTTCATTATAAAGGAAAAAAAATAGATCTATTATTTTTAAGTTTCTTATTAGAAGTAAAATGAAAAATACGTAGTATCTAATTAATAGATTTAAAATAAGTAAGCTATTTATTTAAATTTAATAGAATTTTAATTTTAAATAATAATCAAATAAATAAAATTAATCAATTTAAGCTAGCTAAAAATCTAGTTATTTTAAATTTAAAAAAATCCTTTTATTAAAAAATTGTATTTTCATAACTAAAATATTGAAAGAAAAATTATTTTATAAGTATATTTTTATTAATTAACAAAAAAAATAAATACTTTTGATAATAATAGTAAAAAAATTAATTAAAACTTTGATGCATATAATATTTAACATTAATTTGATAGGTTAATTTCATGTTACATCGAAATAAATTAATTATTTTTTGTTAAAAATGGAAATTAAATCATTAATATTTATAGAAAAACTTCAATAAAATTCAATTATTAAATGAAAAATTATAAATTATTTAATAATAAAAGTCAAACTTTTATTTTAATTGTAATCTTTATAAAAAATTGTGCCATTTTTTTCGGAGAAATCATTATTAATTTAATAGACAAAGAAAATGAAGAAGAATTTTGTTTATCAGTTAACTGCACTTAATTATTTATATATTATTGCTTTTTTACAATTCAATTATTTAGAATCAAAAAAATATTAATTTTTAATCTACAAGAGGAATAATAATTAAGTAATAATAGTTTATAAATAAAGGCATGTATTATTTAGTGCTATTATATACCTACTATAAAATTAAAATTATTTATAATATTGATGGAGAAATATGACAAAATTGAGTTTAGTGTGTGAAATTGACTGGGGATGTATTTCTAGTAGAAGAGAAAACTTCAAAGTATGTAAAAGTTTAAGATTTATTATTATATTCCATTAATAGCACTTCCATGAATTAAATTCTTGTGAATGCTGAAATGCAAGAATTTAATTCATATATAAACATAAACTAGATTAATATAAATCATAAAAATTTATTAAATTTAGGCTTTTTTTTATTTTTTTAAATAAAATTTATAATTTTAAATTACCTCATTTATTTTTTTATAATATTTTTATTGATTATAATATAGCAAGATGCCATTCAAAAATTCAGTCGTTTGGATTTCATTTATTATGAAATATATAGAATCTTTTTTAGACAATAATAATTTTTTTTAAAGTTAATGAAAAATTTTATTATACAATATATTTCTTTAGGTGTAGTAGCTGTAGCTATAGTTAATAGTGGATTATTGCATGTATTTCATAAAAATATTAATAAGAGCAGTCATATTAATAATACTAAAAAATTCTAAAATATAGATTAGAATATTAATACTAAAAAAGATTTATTTTAAAAGTAGACTAATTTGAAATAAAAAAGTTTGAGATAAAAGGTTAGGGATAGAAAATTTTAGGTATTGCATTATGGGTTTAGGATCTTTCAATTTTTGATTGTATTGTTCTGATTGGTTTATTATGATGACTTTTGTATAATGGGTTTATTATGTAGACTTTTGTATGTATTATTATGATGACTTAGGTATGAATTTTTGACTCTTTGCTGTGCTCACTACATTCGTTCTTGCTCTACAGTCTTTCGAACCTTCGCGCTAGACTAGCTTGGTGGATGTAGATACTTTCTTGTAGATAGATGACTACTCAGACTTCGTCTATGCCTCGTCTGAATTATTATATTATGGCCTTTTTTATACCCACTACGCCCGTAAATGCTCCGATTGTAAATTTTTTATAATTAAAAATGATATTATCATATATTATATTGATTTAATAATGATTATAAAAATAATTTTTTACATATAATTTTTGGTTATGGCTAATTATGATTTTTTTTCTTTTTCTTATTCTAGGTGCACACATATTTACCCCGGAGTTTTTATCCTCTGAAGTATAAAAAAAAGCTATAATAATGCTATTACAAAACTTTAAAAATAAAACAGTTAGGATCATAATTTAAATACATTGTACACTTAAAATCTTTAATTATTATATAATTAATACAAATAATTTCTTTACCATTATTAAATATATAAAATTATGAAAAAATTTGTTATTTATTGAAATTTTTAGGTTATGATTACTAAAAGCATAAGAAACAAATAATTTTATAAAGGCCAAGAAGAAAAAATTAATTTCATACAAACATATTTATTTATACATAAAATAAGCAATAAAAAAAATAATTACTAAAACATTTTGGATATGCAAGAAAATGGTTTAATATCTTTTAATTTGTTTTCTTTTCATTTTTAGATAAATTTTTTTTTATCTTTATTTTTTTTTTTAGATGTTACTTTTTAATGGAAAAATAATGGTTTGATTTTTTTTAGATAAATTTATTAAAATAATGTTGGCGTAAACAAATTCAAAATTCACTATTTTTAGTCTAGCATATAATTGCTTTTTGATTAAAAATGTTTATTAATTAATGGTAAGTTTTTAGTCTATACTATCATAGAATAAATTCAAAATAACAAGAAAAAAACTTCTAATAAAAAAACAAAAGATTAGATAGAGTTAATTGTTAAAAAAATATAAACTGAATAACCAACCATATAATAATTAGGAACTGACTAATTGTATTAAATTGTAGATTAATTAATAGATGAGAATATTATCTTTCTTAACAGGGACAAATATAATATTACTTTGCTGTAGTATAATGATTATTATAAATTATTTCATAGATTTAAGTGCTATTTGTTCGGGAGGTTGCTTCTTCGACCATTTTTTTAAAAATTAATTAAGAGTTCTATTTTTTCTATTTATTGTTAATTGTTTTCTATTACTCTTATACTTTAAGGTTTCTTTTGAGATAAAAAAATTAAACTAAGCTACAAGTGGATATATGTTCAATTCTTAGAGTAATTTAACATACAGAACATTAAAAACAATAACAATGTTTGTTTTAGTCTAAATAGTCTTACTTATCATAACTAATATTTAGTAAAAAAATGAAGCAGACGAACTCTAGAGTATTGATTGCTCAAATAATCCAGATCCTGGCTAATGCTCATTTGTAAGTGCAAACCATTCAGTGATTACTACTGGAAAAATATTGATGATAGCTTTTATAGTTTTGCATGCAATTTTATTTATTTGTGGATATAGAATGCTTAATAGTCCTTCTTAAAGAGTTTAATAAATTTCAGAAGATAGAAGTTCTGAATTAAATAATAACTAAATAAATAATATACAATAGTAAAGACAAGTAAATGCAATTGTAGCTATACCTACATAAGATTAAGAAAGAAATTTGATATAAGGATAAAATTTAGATTAAATGCCTCCAAACGCAATATTTTCTTATTAGCCATAATATCAAAATCAATAGAAATAGTAAAATCAAATATAAATTGGAGAAGCTGTTTTATTATGATAAGGTAAATTAATTAATATGATAAATTTTAAAAGAATTATAAATAATAAAATATAAAATAATTTCACTCAATAAATAAATAACAAACAAACATATTTAATAAATTTATAGTCAATTATAATTTAAATTCATAATACATTTTAAAAATATTTATGCAATATTTTAATCAAAAGTATAAATAATAATTCTGATTTAATTATCATACTATTATTTTTAAATTAAAACTGTATATTTTACATAACATTTTAACAATTAACTTTATGAAATATTTATGATTTTTAATATTTAAAAGTTAAATTTAGATTATCTTAAAAAGGAAATGAATTATATGCTATTCATTATTTTATTGATTTACTCTATTTATATGTATCTATATTTAGTTTAAAACTTGTATTTGCTTAAGTATGAGATTATTTGACATTAAACTAGGTTTGATATTTGCCCAAAAATTTTTTTAATTTTAACTCAAATAAACTAATATAGTAATAGTACACAAAATGTACATAAGGGGATTACAGTATCCATAAAATTTCAAAAAGAAGGCTATCTATTAAAATATTCTTTGTTATTTAAATAATCTCCAAGTAATATTTATTTATAACATAACCTTCAAATAAGAAAGTTATCAAATGGAGCTATTGTAGTTTATTCAGACAAAACTAATTTTTAGCTAAAATATATAGTTAAAGAAGTGACATAATTATAACCCATAAAAATAAAGCATTTTAGGTGCTCAGCATTATATTCATACTATAGGTAATCAAGCATGTAACTTTTATTATCAATTTTTCTGTATGAAATCTTTTGAATTTTTTGTAATAATATTTTAAATAACTCATTTGACTAAGAATAATAATTTATATTTCCAACAAACAAGCTATTGAACATCCTGAAAAATTTTAATAATAAATTAAAATCAATCGTATAATTAAGTTCAATAAAATTTAATAATTAGATATATTCGTAAAAAATTGAGTAAATTAACATTAAACTTCTTTAATTTTAAATTAAGTAAAAATATAAATATAGCAAGCAAAATAAACTAGATTTAAAGTTAAAATTAATTATAAAGTAATAATTTATTTAAAAATTAATTGTAATGAAAGAATATGATTGAAAATTAAACAAATTGATAGATTAATAGTTAATTGATATAAAGTTTATTAGAATTTTTATTTATTCTATATTAGTCACAAAAAATAAAGGTTTTTATTGTTAACTTACAAAAAATTAAAAAAAGGGTTTCAAGGAAAAAAAGTAAACCTAATATTTTTAAGATTCTTAAAATGAAAAATATGTAAAATCTAATTAATCAATTTAAAATAATAAAACTTTTTAATTTATCTATGAATATATATATGACTTTACTAAAAAATAATAACAAATAAGTAAAATTAATTAATTTAAGTTAGCTAAATAAGCAGCCATTTTAAATTAAAAAAAACACTTTATAAAAAAATTCTATTTTCATAAATAAAATGAAAGAAAATTTTTATATAAATGTATTTTTATTGATTGAATTATTTTAAAATAATTATTTAAGATTATTCTAATAGCAAAACAAGTTATTCGCTTGATACATATAATATTTATCTTTAATTTGAAAGGTTAATTTTTTGTTACATCTAAATAATTTATTTATTTTTGCTAAAAATGGGAATTAAATCATTAATATTTATAGAAAAACTTCAATAAAATTCAATTATTAAATTAAAGATTATCAATTTTTTAATAATAAAAGTCAAACTTTTTATTTTAATTGCGATGGTTATAAAGAATTGTGCCATTTTTTTGAAGTAATCATTGATAATTTAATATGCAAAGAAAATGAAGAAGAATTTTGTTTATCAGTGAATTGCACTTAATTATTAATATATTATTGCTTTTTTACAACACTAAATTTCAATAATTTAGAATCAAAAAAATATTAATTTGTAATCTACAAGAAGAATAATAATTAAGTAATAGTTGATAAATAAAGGCATATTAACTTTAGCGATATTATAAGCCTGCTATAAAATAAACATTATTTATAATATTGATGGAGAAATATGACAAAGTTAAGTTAGTGTGTAAAATTGAAATGGGAGATGTATTTCTAGTAGAAGAGAAAACTTCAAAGCATGTAAAATTTTAAGATTTGTTATTATATTCCATTTAATTTTCTACTTGTTAATATGCAATAATTATTATCTTGAATACTTCATTTTAAATAAAATTTGGTTAATCTAAAAGAAATATATCATGAAGAGGATTTTTATTGATGAAAGGGAATAGTAAACCTATCACCCAGAAAATGAAGCTAAATTACTTGAATAGCTTGACCATCCAAATATTATAAAAATGCAGGAACATTTTTATCATAAAAAATATTTTTGCTTAATTATGGAGTTTGCAGAAAAAGGTAAACTAATGAATTTAAATTTAAAAATTATTTACTAACTTATGTATTTCAAAACCTATTCACTCTTTAAGTAATTTTTTTTCAAACAGGCGATTTAAATAAATTGATCTTAAACCTCAAACAAAAAGAAGAATATTTAAATGAAAAGCAGGTATTTTTACTTTATCTGTTATTACTAATTTCTCTAAATTACTCTAAAAACATAAAGAATTTGCAAATTAATATTTTTTTAAATACTTACTTTATTTTTTAAGGTATTAGACCTATTCTGTTAGCTCTGCCTAGCTGTTAAGTATCTTCATGACAGAAAATACATTCATAGGGATATAAAAATACATAACATATTCCTCTCTAATGAGAATATTGTAAAATTTTATTTGCTATAAATATGATAAAACGCTAATCTATGAAAACCTACATACAACTGAATAAAATTTAAAATTGTTATATTAATAGGTGAAATTAGGAGATTTTGGGATATCAATTTAGCTAGATAAAAGCGAGATATATGCTAAGACATAGCTAGGAACTCCATATTATTTATCTCCTGAAGTAGTCTAAGGAAAGAACTATGATTAAAAAGTTGACATTTGGATGATTGGTTGTTTTTTATATGAAATTTGTGAATTATCAAGACCATTTTAAGGTGCTACTTGGTCTGTAATTTATTCAAAATTGTTATTATTAAAATTTTTGTATGAAAAAAAATATATTTTTAACCAAAATTTAACTTTTAAAATAATCAAAAAAGGAAGTTGATTACAAAATATAAAATATTGAACCAGAGCCTATAGATGAATCATATAGCTAATTTTTATAAAATCTAGTTAAAAAGCTTCTTTAAAAAGATCCTCAATAGTAATTTATTAAATTATTAATGGATAATTATTCTAATTCATATTTTTCTTTTTTGGTCAAAAAAATCTTAAAAGTCAATTTAAAAGTTAATTTAATTATTTTCATTATATAGACGGCCAAGTATAAATGACATTATAGAAATGCCAGAAATTATACAAAATCTTAAATAAATGTCTAAGGACGAAGTTTATTCTTAATATTTGATATTCCCTGAATTTATTTATCAGGATGAAGAAGAAGAAGAAAATGAACATGAAAAAACAGTGATTAAAGACAATGAAAACTATTGTAAGGCAGAAAAAAATATAGAAAGTATTTTAAAAAACGTAGAAGAGGAGCAACTTGCAAAATATTCTTTATCTTATTTGTTGAAGAAAGCTGCTTAAAGTGTATAAAAAGAAGAGATGCTCTTAAAAAAATAAAAATAAGATAAATTAGAACAAAAAAAATAATTTTCTATAAATGGAGATTAAAGCGAATAACTGGAAAATAGTAAAATCAATTAAGAAATTCTTTATACATAAAATTTAAATAATACAAAAGACTCTCAATAAGTGAAGAAAAATAAATTTTAGTAAAAATTTTATGAGAAAAAAAAGCAGGAATTAAATATTTGCACGATTAATGGCTAAGAAGATGAATAATCCAATATTATTACTCAATCTTAATAGTCTAAAAATATCTAAAAAAATGCTTCAGCCCCAACCACAACAAAACCAAATCAAAAGCATTTAGCAAATGTTTCATAAATACCAAAAGAGTCATATGTAAATTATGAACCAGTTGGAATAGATTTACCATGTAATGATGATTCAAGCACTAAAATAACTTCATATAATTAAAAAGAAACTTAAAATCTAACACCAGAATAGAATATTAAATAAATTTCACAAATTTCTTAAACAACACAAAACACAATAGATTCTACTCCTAATAGATTAAAAGTTAATGAATTAAAAGATTAAAACTAAGATAAAAGTACCTAATTTTTGTAAGAAAAAGTTATGTAAAACAACTCTAATTTGTCATAATTAACTTCAGCTTCGAATAATTAAAAGCCTACTGCAAACTAAGAGATATAAAGCCTTAATTAATAAATTATAAATACCAATCTAGTAGAACATAATAATTCTAATGATTAAAAAGTGCCCTGTAATGGATAACCAACCACTAAATAAAATTAGCAAAGCTTTAGCTTTTCAGCTAATTAGTATGCAAATCTACTTAAAACTCCTCAACTTCCTAACACAATACTTTTTACTTAGTTTTTAAAGGAAAAATTAGGAAAAGAGAAGTTTACTAAAATGAAATATTTGCTTGAAGGTAGTTAAAATCCTCTTAAACTTCTTGATGAAAATACTGAGCTAATTACTGAAATAATTGGACCAGAAAATATTGATTGCATTAATTATTTTAGATGCTTAATCACCAGTAGCGTTACACCACCTGGTAGTCACTTCAGAGCCCGCTCAACTGCCAATTCTCCTTGCTAAACCTTAAATAAAAATTTATTACCATAACCTTAGCATTCAAATTAGGGAGTTTAAGCATTTTAAATTCATCTCAAAAGCGCTAATTAAAATGAACAACAATAACAAATGATTTAACTTTAGAAATAAGGATCTTTGCAATAACAATAGCATCAAATTCCTACAATTAGCAATAATTCATCATATGTTTAAGGTTTCCATCAATATAATAACAACAATATACAAAATAATAACCACCATATTTATAGAAACTAAAGTGTTTACTCTTAACATTCCTAATAAGGCTAAATGTCTGTTGGAAGTTCTCCTTAATATTTTAACAATAGTAGCAATAGAATATTTGAAAATAATTTTAATTTATTTTAAAGTTGTAATAACGATAAAAATTCTTTTTAATCAGAATGGTCATACATTTTGAGCTAACCAGGAAATCTAAATTGTCAAAACACTCATTTAATAAATTAAGGAAATGTTACCAGTAGCCTATCTAATAGAAATGCATAGTTTAGTAATAGCCAGCCTTAGCAACAAAGCAGCTTTTAAATATATAATTAATAACAGTAGTAATTTATTTAAAATAAAATACCTTTAAACTCATATCAACTAAAGCAATTTCCAGCAAATCATAAAATCGCAAGCACGACTCAAAATTAAAATTAAAAACAAATGTTTCACTCATCTCATTTTTATCAGTAATGATGAAAATTTAAATACACATTAATAAATCAAATGATAATTTATTAATTCTTTAAAAAATAATCTATCCATCAATTTAAATTTTTTTGGGTTTAAATTGTTTTTCACATGGTAATGATTATTTAAACATTTAATTTAAAAAACTAATATTTATAATTATAATAATAATAAATACAATCTCTAATAATATTAAAGTTAGATATAGATTGATACTTATTTATAATAACTATATTTTAAATCATTTACTTACTAAAAAATTTTATATTTTATTCCTTGCATATTAGTAAAAATTCATTATTTATTCAAATTATCATTTATTCAATACCTTATCTAATAAAATTTTTTCTAAATATTTTAATTTTTCATATCATCTTCATTAACACTTTTTTGTATAAAATCCAATATAAAATGATTACATTAATAAACATTTTACACTTAAGTTTATACTAAAAAAGAGAAATTATAATTTAAGGATATTAATAAATTAATTCAAGCGAATAAACTTTGATAATTTATTTTAATTCGCTCAATAGAATAAATTGGATATAAAAATAAAATATTTAATAGTAAATAAAACTTAATACCTCATAATAAAAGTTTTAAGCATACTATCATAAAAATTATTTAAAATTTGAAAAGAAATATTCTACAAGCATATAAAAATTATTAAACTTTGACAAAAGTTCATTTTTAATTTATTTTAAATAAGATTTATTTTTTTGTTTTTTTCTTTTTAAAAACAAAAAAATTATTTTAAAGAAGACAAATTAATTCTTTTGTTAAAAAAAATCTATTGAGTTAACAATTTTTCATTTTTTCTTTAAACTATTTAAATACAACAATTTGTATATAGAGTTCTTTACAAAGAAATGTATTGTCTTAAATCAAGTTAATTTATTTTTTTCTTTTCCAAAATACATTAAAGAATATTTATTAACCTTTTCTATCTAAAAGATATAAAGTTTCATTAAAATACAGAAATGTTGTTCAAAAAATTGGATAAATATAAAAAATGAAATAAAGTTAAAAATATGTTTTAGAGAAACGAAAGAATATTTATCGTTATAAGAAAAATAATACGCATTTTAGTAAAATTTATAATTATAATTTGATGTATTTTCTTTTAAAAATAATTATTTCTCATCAAAAATCTAACATAATTAGTTTTATTATTCAAAAATTTTTGTTGATTTTTTTATGATTATCAAAAACAAGCTTCTTGAGTTATGTTCTTTAATTTATTGGTTTTTATATTCAAAAATATACAGTTTTAACTAAAATACTTAATAGTTTTTGAAACAATAAGGTAATGCATAGGCTCGAAAAAAATTCTTTTATTATTAAATAAATAGTTTAAAATTGAACAACTCTTTAATAAAATATAATGATTAAAAACAAAAGAAAAATTAAAAAAATATAGATATAACACAAAATGAAAGCTCTTTTACTTACTGTTGTTGCTATTGCAACTCTTCTTACTATCACTGGATTTGTTTTCAATGGAAAGCATGCTAGCCTTGAATCAAGAGAAATTAGATACTATGATGGTTGCACTAATTTAGAATTGACTACTGCTGGTGTTTTTGTTGATGATACTTGCAGTCAAGCATACAAATACACTGTAATTCCTCTTCCCACTTTGAAAAGAAGTAATTTTGTTTCTGGTTGTGTTCCTGGCTACAAATATGTTCTTACAGATTTTACTAGTTTTGATCAAATTTAAGAAGTAAGAAGGACTCCATGCTGAAATAGCAAATGAAATAAATTTGATATAATTCATAATACTTTATCTTACATATTAAATTAAAGTTTTTATTATGTAATTTATATAAAAAAGTAATTTATTTACTTAATATTATTATATTTAAAAACTGATTATTTAAAATATTTAATTTAGCCTAATTTTATTTATATAATTTTCTATTTTATTAATAATAAAAATAGTCATAAATAAATTTTCAGTTAATTAATTAATGATTTATTTAATTTTAGATGTAAATATATAAAAATGAAATTTTTTTCTCTTTGATTTTAAGATTGTTTTAATAATTAATTTTACTTCTTAGGTTAGTTATAATACCTAATTTTATTAATATTAAACTTAATACATTAAATATATGAATTTAGATAGTGTTTAAATAAAATTAAATTCTAATTTTTTTTTGAAATACTTAATAAAATCAATAATACATAACTCATTTTTAAAAAAAAAAACTAAATAAATAATTGTGTTAAAATTACTTAAAATTTTAAGTAGGGTTGAAATTTTTATATTCTTAAAAAATATAAACTTAATAAATTACAAATTCAAGGATAGTGTTTTAAAGATAATATTATTTATTGAAAAAAATAATTAATTGTTTTTAATGTTATCTTTTTAATAAAAAAAAACAATAGTAAATTTAAAATTATTATCTTGAATTTGATCTTAAATTTTTGAATCAAATAATAACTATCTTTGCAATGTATAGCATATAGCAGATTATTTTTTTAACCAAATAATTGTTAAAATAAAACTAAACTTTCATTATTTAAAATATTTTTATCAGATGCTATTAAGAAACATTTTTTTAATAAATATATTAATTTAAATCTACTATTAAATTGAAATCAAAATATAAAAAATAATTAGATTTTAAAGATACGTTGACACGTAAATATTTATTAATTAATTTATATTAAATTTAATTAAAAGCTGATATAATATCTTTAATTCAGTTTAACTTATTTAAAATGCAATTAAAGCAAATGATATCATAACATCTTCTTTTCTTTGAAAAACTATCTTAAGTAATATGACTAGAAAATAGCAAGAGCTATGAGCAAGACAAGGGTGATAATTGAAAAACCCTAAATCTTAAATGTAAGATCATTTTGCAGAGCACTATTGTATTATTAATGTCTATAAATAAATCTTTTTTCCAAAGAAATATCTTTCAAAGTATCCTCTAATCTTTTAGCACTTAGTTCAAACTTAACACCATCTTCCTTTTTGATTAGGTCTGCATAGTCTTTTGCTTCAACACCAGTTTTGTAGTCAAAATAAACAGTTAAATCTTCCTTCAAGTCAGTATTATGGAAACAGAATTAGTATTCACCTTCAAATTCTGTAATTATTTAGAAATTTTGAGTTTTTAATTCGGCCTATGTTTCACTATATGTTCCATCTTAATTGGATACTTTAAATTCTAGAAATTCTCCTTTGTCACATACTATTGTAAGTCTAACAAGAATTCTTTCACCTTTTGATAATTAAAATAGAGGTTCATAATTTGCTTTTTCATTATGAATAATGTGTACCTAAGCTATCAAAAAAGCAATGCTCTTAACGACCTTCCAATTTAATTGCTAATTCAATAGCATTAGATTAAGATATAAATATTACTAAGATTAGCAATAAGCTAATGGGAATTTTATAGTTGATCATAACTGCTAAGATATAAAAGCTCTACTATGTTATATTTTCAACAAAAAACTAATTACTAATAAAGAAATTAAATAAAGATTTTAATTTTTTTTTTCTTATTTGTTTTAATTAGTTTGTAATCAAAAATAAAACAAAAAAACATATTCAGATATGAATGTTCTTTTATATTAATCAAAACTTTCAATTTTTACACAGAATATAATCAAAAAACAAAAAATTGTTCAGAATATTTTCGTTGACTAAGAAATTATAATTTTCATGAAAAGATGAAGTGGCCGAGCGGTCTAAGGCGGTAGATTCAGGTTCTATTCCGAAAGGGCGCGAGTTCGAATCTCGCCTTCATCAGATTTTTATTTACAAATTCATAAAATATAAATGTGGATGGAATAAAGTATATTTGTTTTTATGGAGTTAAGTGGATTTTTTTTCATATCAATAAATAAATTCTTTAAATGATTTTGTAAAAAATAAATAATTTAGTCAAAGTAGAAATTATTCGTAAATATAATTGCGCAAATAGATTGATGTAAATAAAGATGGACTGAAATCATTAAAATTAATTCACAAAGTAATGAATGATTTTTTGAAGAATGATTTTTTTAGAATGAATAAAAAAATTATGAATATTTAATAACAATAATCAAAGTAATTTATACATAAATAATAAAAATTAAGCAGACAGAATACACAGAATAAATATTGACTTTAAACAGTAATAATCCTATTAATTAATTTAATAGTTCCATAAAAAAAGTTTACAAATTTTAACAAATAGACTTATAATATAGGTAAAATTAAAGGATTTTTGAAAAGCGATACCATAGTAAATTAAGATGAATTAAGTTAGATAGTCTTACTACATTCGAGAGAGTAATATTTTATTTACAATTTCAATTTCATCCTTTGATTAATATATTTTAATGTTAATTATTTCAAACAAACATTTTAATTATTAAATATGACTGACTTAATTATAAGTTTGTAGAATGAAATTTTTATTAATTTGAAACTAGGTGCTATTTCTACTTAACCGTAAGGAAATAGTTTTGTGAATTCTCGTAATAATAGTGGAGTAAATATTCAGCATTAAGGTAGTCTTGGGTTAGGAACATAAACGACATATATAGCTAATAATAGTATCTAAACAACATAACCTCCTTAAGGTTAGACATCTTCAAGCGTTAACCCTTAATACCATCATTAAAAGTAGTAAAGCTATGCTAGCAATCATAGCTTACCAAAAAATTAATACATAATTAATCTTACTTAAGATTCTTCTTTAATGACTGTAGCAGACGCCAATAATTAAAGAAAATCCCTTAGCATTTTAACTACACAATAATCATAGCTAAAAGAGCTATTTAGAAACAAAGCCTAAACTCCTAATCATTATCATACAAATTCAATATCTTAGCAATCGATAAATGCCCCATATTTGAAAGACAACTATCTTTTGAGAAATAATGATAATACCAATTAATCAAATTAATCAGGGTATTTTTCAAGAAGCAAAATTAACAAAAATAAATTTATATCATTAGGAGATAGTGATCAAAAAAGAAGACAAAGCAGTACATTATTAGGTTAAAATGTTTAAAACGATTATGTAATTTCTGATTAGAAATAGCATAGTAATTTTTATCATAAATAAGCAAGTAGTCATTCTCATATTAAAGTGGTAGACTCAAAAAATTCTAATGATTCTGATAAAAATTTTACTCCACAGTCAAAAGTTGAAACTATTTCTAAAGAATAATCACGTCTTATTTAACTATAACAGAGCTATATATAAAAACTGAAAAACAACAAAATAGTCAAATAAAAGAGTTACTAATTTTAAATATTTACAAATATTGTTCAAAACTTTCTCTTAAATGAAACTCTTATCGATCACACTGATGCATAGATTAAAGAGTAGTTAAATGATTTACTGATAGAATAATCTTAATAATAAGCTGCTTTAGAATAAAGGGTAAATACAGAGAGCAGTGCAAGTAATTAAATATCAAAATCATCTCGCAATATCATAGATACTGAATCCGATACAGCCAAAATAAATGACAATAATTTTCTTAAAGTTTTACAGTAAGACAATAATTCTTAGTAGCAGAATCAAAATAGAAGACCATCAATATTATAAATAATGCAATAAAAGTATACACATACGTAGTTAGATTTTAATTCAAGTAATTAAGAAGATACGAAAGCAAAAGTTTAATTTATAACTGAGCAAACCACAGAAGATTAAACAACTTAAAAATCAACAATTAAATAAGATAATAATAAGTTAGTTATAAATGTTATTAATTCTTAAAATGAATTAGCTAAGCATGATTTTGCTAATTCGACAAGAGCAATAAAAATTTAATAAAACTAAATAAATAATTCTAAATCGGACTTAGAATAAGAAGTAACTAGTCCTGCAGATTTGAAATAAAAGGAAGATATACTTATGTTTCTAATGGATTTTCTAAATAAGATTGAACACTAGTTTTTAGAAGGTATTAATTGTAAATATTACCCTCAAGAGGATTTTATAAAGTAGTTAATGAAAAATCTGATGGAGCTAAGCAACAAAATTTGTCATTATTTAATGCAAAGAAAAGAAAAAGTTGCCAGTATTTTCATCAATACAATTTTAAAAGTTTTCGCATAAATACTAGAAAAGCAATATCTATATGTAAAGGACTAAGTGAAACAGTTAGTTAAAATATAAGTTTAAGAGCATAATGAAAAGTTTAACTATTATGTAAATAAAAAAAAAGAGTTAGAAGATAAAATAAGCTAAATGTACAAAGATCAAGATAAAATAGTTGTTGAATTTCAAAAGAAAATAGTGGCCATGGAAGAAATTAAGAATCAATATTTAGAGCAAGCAGAAATCCTAAGAGAGTAAATTGAAGAATCAAAAACTAAAAAGTATAAAGATTATTAGCTTGAAAGGATTCAAGTGCAATCAAAAGAAGTAATTAAAAATTGCGCATAAATCGAGGCTGAAATCTTAAAACGTAGAGAAGACACAAAGGATTCAATTTAAAATTTAGCAAAAATGACAATGGAGCATTTCAATACAGTTAAAAATGACCCACGAAGAAGATCCTTATTGGGAAATTTAGGCTTTAGTGGTATTAATTAATCTGATTTGATTCTGTAAGGAAGTATGACACACTCAGAAAATTAATAATCATTTTCTGAGTTCAACTTGATTACTTATGCAGCTAAATATGATAAACCAGAAACCAAAGCAGCAATTTTATTTGCTCATCCATTTTAATTTTATATCCAATAAGATATTCATAATTACATGTATGACAAATTAATTCCCAAACAAAGTAGGTCAGAAATGATTAAATTACTTGAAAATTATATGGAAGAAGTAAGTTTTTTTATTTCGTTTAAATTCAATAAATAAAATTAACTTAAGTTAAAATTTATTTATATAAAATAATTGTTTATTTATTGGTTTTAATTTTTAGGTATTTTTATAATTTTTTTTCATAAATAGGTTACAATATTAAAATATGGAGGAAATAAAATAAATGGGCCTTTAAATTTCTTATCGTAAATTCAACAAATAAACACATATTTTAATATTTTATTTAATTAAATATAGATGGATTCTGTAGAAGCATTAAAATTTCTTTGTAGCTTCTATTAAAATCACTGAAATAGCTTTTCTATTGTAAAGTTTAGTTAATAGCAAAAAAGAAATTGGAATTTATTTTGCCACGATATTCGGTATAGTTTAAGATAATATGCTTTCTGACTCTTAATTTGAGTTTATGATATCTATTAGAAAAATGCTAAAGTTATATATCCCATGGTTAGACCAGTTAGATACTTTAAAAGAATAAGAGATAAATAAAATGATAGATGATCAAGTATTTATTCCTGCAAAATAAGTTTTAGAATCATTCTAAACTGTATTTAAGAATGTAACTTAAAGTTATTCGTTTATCATTAATAAATAAATAATTTATATTGTTAAAAGCATCCTTAATACTCAAAAATAGAAGAAAGATTTTAAATATTTTTGAAAACAAGAAAAGTCTAAATCAATCAAAGAGCTATACAAGAACAAAGAAAAATCATTAACTCTAAGTTTGGTGAATCTTCTCTTACATTAATTCCTAATCTTATGGAAAAAATGAAAACTGAGAATATCAACGACGTTATACGAAGTCTTGAAAATATTTTTGCTAAACTCGATTAAAAGTAATAAGAAAAAGGTAAAGACATTTAAATTAAATAAGTTTTACTATTTAAACTAAGAAAATTTTAAATAAATTTAGAATTACTTTTTTATGCTAAAAATTTTACTATTAATAATTTTAATAAAAGTTAACTACAATAGCTTCAAGAAATTAATGTATAATCACTATGGTGTAGATACAGAAAATGAATCTATTTCAGAGTATTTTTCTGAATTTATTTTTGGTGAATGGTTTAATTACTAAGGATTTATTCAAAAAGTCATTAAACTACATGTTCCTGATGATGTAAATGATAAATTGATTAGCTATTATAGTACAATGAATGAAATTTGCAATCTACTTATGCATAACTAAAATTAATCATTCCATGAATTTAAAAACAGATTAAGCAATTATTTATTCAACATGGAGTCCCTCAACTTTTTCTAATATAATACGTAAATTTTATTTTTTTTAAATAATTCACAATAATCTATTTTCTTTTTTTAGGATTGATGAATTTTTCAAAAGCTACGAAAATTCAAAAGATGATCAGCTTAAATTTAATACTAAGCGTATTTCTCCTGCGTTACTGTACTAATAGCTCTTCAAATAAAATGAGTTTGGTTAGCTGTACCAGTACTTCAAGCAATCAGGGAGCGTAGATGATGAAAATTGCGAATTTATTAAAAGATTATATCCTCAAAGAATTTTATTAGATAACTTCAATGAATTCCTTGATTACAATAGGCATATTTATTAGTTTTTATCTGTTTAAGAAAAAATTTAAATTGTTTAGGCACCAACTCCTAGCGAAACTTCAATTTAATATTTTAATTAACCTACCAAATCCAACAATAATCTTAAAAGGTTAAATACCATAAATAAAATAAAAGCAGCCAAGCTATCTAAATTTACTTCATAAAGTAGTAATGTAAGCAGCAAATCAAACTCAAATTAACCACAATATTAAGCAAGCAGAAAGTCATAATTTAATTTGCAGCAATTAACGAAATCAAACACTCTAATAAAATAAGATACTATTTAATTGGAAAGATCAGACTCTAAAGAGTCTTCTGTAAGTATTGCTACTCCTGCTAGTGCAAGCAAGAAATCTATTTTCTCAGGAGTTTGAAGTTTTAATCTTCATTAACTAAGATCTCTTTTGTAAAAAATTTTAATTCTAAAACTAAATTTTTTCCAAACAATGTAATAAAATTTTAATAATAAATAAAAAAAAAATATTATTTGCAAAACTAAAATAAATTTTTGTCTAAAAATAAAAAAATAATTAATAGTATAAAACTGTATCATATTCTAAACATTTATTTGTAGAATTATCTTTGAGAAATTTTCTATTTAGCTATCTGTTTGTTTTTATTACCCTTTAAGAATTTTAATATTGCAAATTGATTTATATACTAAAAAGTAATTTAATGAGGAAAATTTATAGAATAAAGAAAAGAAAAAAATCTTTAGTGAATATAAATTAATAAGTAATATTATGAGTAACATTTATAGAACATAGAAAAGGACGAAACAAACTTTATAGAATAATGAATACATTTTTCTAAAATTTTATAAAAATGAAATCAAATTTATTAAAAAATTTGAAATTAATTAGTTTATATTTATATATATTTATAAGTTTTTAATTAGTTAGTTATTTAGTTAGGTATTTAATTAATTATCAATCAAGATTTTCTAAATGTGAGATATTTTCTTCTTCTTCAATTCTACTTAGAAGACCAGCTATTTAATTTTCTAAAAGTTAATAAAGCTTTTCAGCAGTTTAATCATCTAATCCTAGATTTTTTTAAAAATTTAATTTAAAAATTGATCTAAATTAAAATTTTTATTTACCATGCAGTCTTGCAAAATCATATGCTAATTATTTTGGATTATCACCTTCATTGACTATAATTCTTTCACTTCTTTGGTTACCAAGATTTACATCAACAAATAAAAGTGGAGGGCGATCTTTTTAATTTAAAAATTAAATTTTTGATTAGTTTACATATATATTTAAAATAAATATCTATCTACCTTTTGAATCTGGAACTGAATGAACGGATTCTTGGCCTTGTTCACTTGAAAATGGTTTGCATTCTTCGCCAGTATTTTAGAATTATTCTTAATTAGCCTATAAATTATTTTACTACCAAGAATTTTGGATTTATGTTTCTTGTAATCTTCCAAATTTAGGAGCACTTAATTCAAGCAAAGGATTATGATAGTTATTAGAATTAATTAAACCTAAATTTTCCTAGTTTTATTACTCTAATAAATTATTGTTCATGATATGATTTAGCATAAAATTATTATTTTCATCTATATTGTTATTATTTATTAAATTTAACTGATTGTATTATAATGTATTTGTTTGCTATGCAAATGAGTGCTAGAGAGCAGAAACAGGACTATTTTTTTGCTAATATTGCTATAAGGCTTAGTTAGCAAATATGTTATTATTTAACAAACTTTAACTCTATTGCTATTAAAGACCTTACATATTATCTTACTAGAAATTAAGAGAGGGAGAATTTTTATAAACAATTGACTAGTTACTATTATAATATATCATCTAATTATCACTATTAGCAGTGCAACTATTTATACTAGTTATTCTTTCAACGCCAGGGTTAGTGTTATTGCTAAATGTTAGCTAGTGTTAGCAA